GAGAGTTAAATGTAATTAGCTTAAGATGCATCCTGCGGGTGGCTAGCGCCCGTAGTCAGAGAAAGAGTCTCTTCTTCATTTTCACCAAGTAACTCTGGAAATGAACTGGATTGAAATAGATTTCTTGATTGAAATGAAAATAATTCTTCAAAGAAAATGCCTTCTCAACTGTACAGACTATGCTCTCTGATTAAAAATCAATTTTCTTCTTTAAATGTTGAAAAAGTTGATCATGAGAAGTTATCTCTCTGAAGAGAAAAGCTTGAATCTCTTATAAATTTACAAATAAGTGAACTATCAAAAGAGAAAGAATATGAACAGCATTTAAAGAGAATTTCTACAATCAATATAAAAGACTCTATTCTGATTTATTCAGATGACTCAAAAAATGAGAACTTGAATAGATTAGATGCAGACATTGCTTATACTGAAGATAATATCAATTTTATCTCAGATTTCTGAAATATAGGCTCTGAATGTGAAGTCTTTGATGCTGAACTATTTGCAATAGTGAAAGCTTTCAAACTCATTGAAATAAAATCTTATAGAAGAGAAAATTGTTTGAAAGAGATATGAATATTCTCTGATAGTCAAGCTGCTTTAAAAAGACTTAGAAATAGTCAGATTTATAATAATTAAATGAATCTTAAACTGATCTTAAACTCTGTTTTAAAAATTCAAAAGAGAAGAATATCAAAGCTGATTATTCATCTGCACTGAGTTCCTGCTTATATGAATATTCATAGCAATGAAATGACTGATTCAGCTGCAAAAAAGAGTGCAGAATTAGGCAGATCTATTCAAAAAATTATGTTCTGATCTTTTATAAAGAGAAAAATAAAAGAATCTTGTTTACACAAGTGGAATGAAAGCTGGCAGAAACAAAAGAAGAGTATACATTATTCAAGATTTGAAACAAAGTCCAAGTGAAAATCTTGTTTAATCAAATGTAAAAAGAAAATATTCTCATCTATAATACAGCTGAAACTAGAACATGACTATTTCAAATCTTATATACAAAGATTTGATGATAGATTTGAATCAATAGAATACTCATTCTGTAATACAAATGAGAATTCTGAGCATATTGTAATGCACTGTGCATTATACAATAGTCTCAGAGTCAGATTGAAAGAGAAGTATAATCTAAATCAATTAAATATGAGATTCTTATTCTCAACTGAGACAGGAATTAAATACTTAATAGACTTTCTATCAGAAACTCAAGCAGCTACAAGAAAATGACTAAATTCAGAATTATCTGAATATGAAGAGGAGGAAATCAATCAGATATAGTCTGTTAAAACAGCTATATACTATCTTTTAATAATTTGTTTTGTTACAGTCTTTCTTTATTTTATCTTTTCCTTTCAATTTCTTTCTGTCTATCTATTTAATGTGTCTATCTTTAAGACTGTGTTCTCTTTTCCTTTGTCATGATATTGTCAAATGGTTTCAAAGTATGAGATGATGTTAAAACACTGCAATTTGTAAACAGTTTTTGTATTCTGAGCTGGAATTTTCTGATTTTGCATATCTGGAATTGATGAATGTATAATAGTTAACTTTACAGATATAGGAAAAACCCTGAGAACTAAAAGTTCTCAGGTAGATATCATAGTCTCTGACTGCATACATCTATAATTGAAGAATAATAATAATAATAATAATATATTTCATACTGAACTCTCACAGTCTGATTCAGATTATTAATAATATAGTAATAAAGCTCTGAGATATCTATAACTGAGTAGAAGTCTTCATAATAAGTATTAAATAAGATTAAGAAGATTGAATCAATATTCACTGAGATCTTATTAAGTAATATAAGATAGAAGATCTGATATAATTGAATCTTAATAATATACAGATTATATACTTATCTCATACACTGAATTACTGTTATATTAAGTATAAAGTGATAGAAGTTCTAGACAGTTATAACTATTATCTTGACATATTATCAGAGATTTATAATATCTTTTATACAAGCTTACTTCTCTATACTGTCACTGATCTGTTCTCTTCTCAACTGATTTCTGACTGACAGTTATCAGAAATCATAGAAGAAGATAATAAACTTGAATAAGAGATTAAAGATATTCTTGATAAGAGATCTCACAGATGCTGCTGATAATATCTTGTAAAATAAGTCAGCTATAATTATCTGATCTGAACTCTGAGTTCTACATTATCTGAGACTGCAGTTCTTGACTGATGAGAACTAGACTGATTATGTGACTGTGTCTGAGATCAGAATCAGATTTTTTGATAGTCTTATTATCAATTTGACTGATTTCATTACACGGTTTTAACATTAGATAGTAGTCTCATACTGTTTCAGTGAGACTTACTATCTACTCTTATCACATTTTTCAAATGAGATCATGATTTTCACTTCTCAATTTAAATTATTTTTATTGCTTTAAATGACTTTAAATCTCATTTGAGTCTTATCAAAAAGCAATACTTTTTAAAAAATTAAAAATAGTCTAAAAAAAACCTTAAAATGTCTAAAAATAGTAACTTTATGCTAAGAATGAGACTAAATGAGATCAAATGAAATCACTTTCTCATTTTTTTCAAGTCATGATTTCATTTTAAGATCTGATATATAGTCACTTTACATGTTTTTTTAATAGTCAGTCTCAGTGAGATTCATGTCAAGAAATGTATGAGATCAGATCAAATGAGATTAAACATGAAATTCATGATCTCAGCGGCCAGTCTAATGAGAACTACACATGATCTCACTTCAGAAAAGAGAGAGTTAATATAACAGACTGTATCTGATTAATTATATAGACTATTTCATTACACTTCATAGATTTTCACTGAAAGCTTCAATTCTCAGTTATTAATTCTCAGCTAATAAACTCACAGAATTTCTATTCTTCTGCTCTGAAGCTTCACTGTGTACATTATTACATACATGTACAAATATTAGACTGACTGCTGAAATCATGAATTTCATATTTAATCTTATTTAATCTAGTCTCATACATTTCTTGATGTGAATCTCACTGAGACTAATCATTAAAAAAACATGTAAAGTGACTATTAGACTGACTGTGTGACCGTGTCTGAGATCAGGACCAGATTTTTTGATAGTCTCATTATCAATTCAACTGATCTCATTACATGGTTTTAACATTAGATAGTGGTTTCATACTGTTCCAGTGGGACTTACTGTCTACTCTTGTCACATTTTCCAAATGGGACCATGATTTCCACTTCTCAATTTAAATTATTTTTATTGCTTTAAATGACTTTAAATCTCATTTGAGTGTTATCAAAAAGCATTACTTTTTAAAAAATTAAAAATAGTCTAAAAAAAACCTTAAAATGTCTAAAAATAGTAACTTTATACCAAGAATGGGACTAAATGGGACCAAATGAGACCACTTTCTCATTTTTTTCAAGTCATGGTTCCATTTTAAGATCTGATATATAGTCACTTTACATGTTTTTTTGATAGCCAGTCCCAGCGGGATTCACGCCAAGAAATGTATGAGATCAGATCAAATGAGATCAAACGTGAAATTCATGATCTCAGCGGCCAGTCTAGTGACTATATATCAGATCTCAAAATGAAATCATGACTTAGAAAAAATAAGAAAGTAATCTCATTTAATTTCATTTAGTCTCATTCTTGACATAAAGTCACTATTTTTAGACATTTTAAGGTTTTTTTTAGACTATTTTTAATTTTTTAAAAAGTAATGCTTTTTGATAACACTCAAATGAGATTTAAAGTCATTTAAAGCAATAAAAATAATTTAAATTAAGAAGTGAAAATCATGATCTTATTTGAAAAATGTGATAAGAGTAGACAGTAAGTCTCACTGAGATAGTATAAGACTACTATCTAATGTTACAACTGTGTAATAAGATCAGTTAAATTAATAATGAGACTATCAAATATTCTAATTCTGATCTCAGATATAATTATACAGTCAGTTTAATAAATATTCACTCTAATCACTGATTCTCATACTTTCTCTTTCTTTTTCTTCTCTAATGTTTTTCACTTTTATATTATAAGATCTATAAATATTATACTGATCTATTCAGTGTAGATCTCTTACACAGAATATAAAAACTATTTATAAATTACAGTATTTTAACACCTTCTGATACTTTGAAATCATTCAGAAATAACATGATAAAAGAAAAGAGAACAAAGTCTTAAAGATAGATATATTAAATAAGTAAATAGAAAAGAATAGAAAAGAAAAAGTAAAGAGAGATTATAATATAATTAAAATATTCAAAGATAGTATATAGATATTTTAACAGATTATATCTGATTAATTTTCATCTCTTTATATTCAGATATTTCTGAATTCAGTTATATTTTTGTGGTTCGGAAGAACGTACGACCGTCGGATAATAACGCGGCCGCTTCCGAACTACTAGCGTACATGTGTAAAGGGGCCATAGCATACGCTAATTAATTTAGTGTATGAGATTACAATATAAGAAGCTGGTGTACATCTGTAATTGTATGCTGGCTTAAGCAACCTTTGAATCACATCTGATAGCATGTCTAAAAACTGGTGAGAAGCACAGACTTCTCCAGAGCATGATAATTCCACCTATGAAGTGATTCATAGTTATCATGTCAGTGTGGTCCTAGAAAATGCCTTAAAAGATAGTATATGAAGAGCAGTGAGTGAAAGAGCATTCAATTGATGCTGCTTTGCTTGTTGAGGGAAAACTCCACGCCCAGGTGCATGCCATGTATGAGACGCGAACAGATGAGGTGTGAGAAAGAGGATGAGAGTGGTGAACCAGATTCAAAGAAGTCTGCTCTCTACTCAAAAGAAGGATAAAAGGGGGGGATGGCCATCACTGAAGTCATACAATGATAACAGAAATCATACAGCAATATAGTGATATAATGATAGACATTGTACAATCAATCAGAAACCACTGAAATGAATATCTTCTCTAGCTGATATGAATAACATTCTTCTCTGCTACCTGAATCAGAAGATATGCAGAACCTCTCAGAGAGTTTACTCAAAGCAGTAAGAAAAGCAGCTGAGATCACTGAATCAGAATTGAAGCTCTGTATGCATACAAGAATTCTAAATGAGATTGAGGCCTTGTGTACGCAGTGACAGGCCAAGACAGAGGTTAAATAACAATTGACATTCACTGTGAACCAAGTATTCACTATGAAGAGCTTCACTGACGCAATCACCATCATCAATAAGAATAGAGAAAACCAGATCTTAGGCCTGCAGCAGGAGATTGAACATTTACACAGACAGATAACTATGCTGAACCTGGAGATCTCATCACAATTGTTCACAACCTCTTCAGAAGTGTACACATCATCAGAGACTGCTGTGCAGGATGAGAATCTGAGCATGAAATATATCAAGCTGAGAGATCTGCTGAAGTTATCAAGCTTCAATAACAACTGAAAAAATGATGCTGCAATCAGCTGGCTAAGTCAGATGTAATCATATTATCAGATTGAACATGAACTCACAGACAGACAGTCAACAGAATTTCAACAAGTCTTAAGATCTGTCACATTTCTACACAGAAAAGCAAAGTCATTATGAATGACTGATGAAAAGATAAATCTTACAGATCTGGAGCAATATTCATTCTCATGAACATGGAATGAGTTTTCTAAGTGAATCTTACACAACTTTGAGAAAGTGAATGCATGAGACAAGTGTTATAAATGCTTCACTGAGTGTAGATAAGTGAGTGATCTTACATTATACTTCACACACTTCAGCTTACACTATCTTGCATTGAATGAAGAGTTTTCAACATCTTTCTGTTTACAGATCTTCATTCATGATCTTACATCTGAGTTGAGAGTGGAATGAAAATGCTTAACCTCACAGCCAGGCACAGTGAAGGAAGCATACAACATTCTCATTGTATGAGAACAAGCAAGTCAATTGCAACAGAAAATACTACAATTGAGTATATCTCAGTGAAGAATGAGTAATCAGACTTCTATGACATAAGTCACATATCTGAATGTGATGAATCTAAATCTGAACATCATTGCTAAAGCACTGAATTCTCTGAAAAAGGGATTCTCTGAGTGAAAACCTTGATATTATGAGCATCAAGCTTGTTTCAACTGCAGATGTCAAAATCATAGTGCAAAAGATTGCATTCAGTGTGTGCAGTTAAAAAACTAGCAGAATCAGTGAGCTTGAAGACACTCACTGATATTCTATGAAAAGTCTTCAAAGTGAAAGAGATGTCTGTGTTAGATGATTCTCTGAATTCTGTGAATGCAAAGAAGAAGCAGGCTTCTGAATGAGATGCAGATGAGAATGATGAAGTGAACACTTATCTCAATGCCTTGAGGCCTGAAATGTTAATGTATAGAGAACACTTAAATAAGAATTGAGAGATGGCTGCAAAAGTATTAGTGAACACAGAAGCTTCTACACAATATATTGATAATCATATAATCTGAAGATTGAAAGAGGTCCACTGAGTGAAGAATCTCTGATACATAAGATTATCTGATAATTAATATCTGATATCACCTGCAAAAGTAAGAGTTCTCTTGCACTTCAAAGAATGATCTTGCTATATTTGAGCGCGAGAGCTGCAGAACATGGAATACAACCTTATTCTTAAACTTGATTGATTTCAAAGGTTCAATCCACAGATTCAATGACATACATGTCATATACAGTTGATCAATAGGAAGAAAATGGTTCATATGATTCTATCAACTGATATGAGAAGAACATTTCACACCCCTGGTATAGAAGGGTTAAATCTGCTTATACATCAACAAGTAAAGAGAACAATTCACAAGATCTCATCTGAAAGCATTCTGTATGTCATACAGAACCTGAAAGTGAAGAAAACTAAGATAAAGAATATGTGAGAGGACAAGCATATGAAGAAGCTTCTGAAGAAGCATGAGAAGATCTTCTGAACAGATCTTTCATCAGAATTGCTGCTGAAATGAGGATTTGTACATGAGATTGACATGAGGGATGCAAAACCAGTCAATCAGAATGTGTATTCTCTGTCACAAATGCATCTTGAAGAACAGAAGTGTCAGATCACTGACCTTCTAGAATGTGATCTCATACAATTCTCATCAAGCATGTGGGGCTTTTCAGTTCTATTCATGAAAAAGGCGGGTGAGAAGTGATGAATATGTATCAATTATCAAGCACTCAATAAGCTTATAATCAAGAATGAATATTCACTGCCACAGATTCAACAACAGTTGAATACAGTTGAAAATGCTCAATATCTATCAAAGATCAATCTTCTCTCAGAATACTGGCAGATTCATGTAGATGAACTGTCAGTCCTGCAAACCATGTTTAATACACAATGAGAGAAGTTTGAATTTCTGATAATGTCATTCAGTCTGATAAATGCATCTGCCATCTTTTAAATGATAATGAATACAATTCTTCATAAACAGAATGAAATCTCATGCCTTGTATATCTCAATGATATTCTAGTCTTTTCAAACTCATACAATAAACATCTGAAGCATCTTAATGAAGTGCTTATAACTCTGGCAGAGTATAAGCTCTATGTCAAATCAATCAAGTGTGTATTTGAAATGAAAGAGTTGAAGTTTGTGAGATATATAGTGAGTGATGACTGTATACACTTCATTCTGAAGAAATTGAATGTCATAGTGAATTGACCGCGGCTGAGGAACATATACCATGTATGACAGTTTCTTGAATTAGTCTCATATTACTGTAGATTCATCAAGGATTTTACATAAATATCTGCATCACTCTCAGATCTCTTAAGAGAAATGAATGCAAATCTGCAAAAGAAGAAGTTTCATTCAATCATCTGAAATACTGCATGTAAAGAGGCTTTTCTCACACTGAGAGAATGTATAATAACATTCTCAGTACTTATTCAATCAGATTGTAATAAATCTTTCTACATTGAGACAGATATATCTGAATGAGCTATCAGAGATACTCTTCTACAGATGAGCAAGAATGGCAAGCTGCACTCAGTGACATATGATAATAGAAAACTATCAGGCGCTGAGCTTAATTATCCAGTGTATGAAAAGAAATTGCTAGTGATTAAGCACACACTGACATTGTGAGATAGATATATCAACAACAGGTATATAACAACAGTAATCATAGATCACAAAAGTCTTGTCTATCTATAATTAATGATAAAATCTTTCAAACACTTAGCACATTGAATCTCAGAGTTTCAAGTGTATAATCTTCATATCAAATACTGAAAAGAATCAGACACAGTGATATCTGATGCAATCAGTCACAGACCTGATTTCATAAGTGAGAGTTCTGTGAACCAGGTATAAGAGATATTCACATTAAATATGCTGAGAGAATGCAAGGAATCAGAATGAGTGAACATCATGATCTCTTGCTTAGAGAATGACAAGATATCAAATGATAAGCATCTTATGAAAGTAGTAGAAGAGATGCTTTCAAACTTCAAGCTGAGAAAATTGAAAAATGACATTGTACTTTACCATGATCTAGAATACACAGAAGCTCTCTATCTAGAATCTTCATTTCATCATGACTTGATGACTCACATGCACAAGGAATTCAGTCACTTAGAAAGCCCTGAACTCATGAGTGTACTCAAATCAAGAGTGTACTGACCAAGCATGGCTGAGGACATTCAGACATACACTCATGAGTGCTTGAATTGTCAGGTCACAAAAGGATCTAAGAAAGAATTAGAACATGAGAAAGTGCAACATCAGATGAAGTGTATGATATAATCATTTGAACAATGAAGAGTGAATCTCATAGACATATTATCACAAACATCAAATGAAAATTGATGAATAATCACTGCTATTGATTACACTACTGACTGACCAGTTGCAAAAGCAGTTCCAGAGATGACAGAGAAGATAGTGACAAAGTTCCTACATAATGAGATCTATGTCAACTATGAAATGCCGCGCGAGATCCTAACTGATAACAGTGTGAACCTCATAGAAGAAGCAGTAAGGCATTTCATGGGCCAGTTACAGACAAGACATCATAGAACAACATCATATCATCCGCAGACAAACAGGAAGATGAAACACTTGAATGAAATCTTGAGCAACATGCTGACAAAATATCTAGTGAGTAAGCCTACAAGACTATGAGATGAATATCTCAGGCAGGCACTATTAACCACACAGATTTGACAGCATGCAGTCTTCAAGCATTTATCATTCTATCTGTTGTATGGATTGCATCCGCGCATCCCGGAGAATGCTTCAGAAAAGGTGAGAGAGAAAGCAGTTACAGATGCAACAGTAGCAGTTGCAGATGCAACAGTCACAGACACAGAATCAAGATTGAAAGAGATCAGCCACACACATGCAAAAGCTAATGAGTTACTTCTGAACTGAGCAATTCAATTGAAAAGAATACAAGACTCACTTGTTAAGAAATCAAGTCTTAAGATAAGAATGTAAGTTCTTGTATGTAATGAGAGTTCTGAGAAGTTTCAATCTAGATGATTTGAGTCATATAAGATACTCAAATCACATTCTCTGAGAATGTATGCATTGAAAGAATCAGAGGAACAGATCTTACACAACTTAATCAATAATTTATAACTTATGAAAGTAAAGATGCAAGATCTGAGTGAATTATAATTATCTACAGCACTATCATCAGTGTTGAAAAAGAAGAGACTTATAATTGAAAAGTCTTAAGAAGTAAGAGAAATCATAGACACTTATGAATCAGATGATCTCACTTATTTCAATCTTTTTATAATTATAAGAAAAGAATGAGAAGCAATGAAGAAATCAGGTGAATGTCACACTTTAATAAGTGATGAGACTGTAGTCAGTTATATAATAACACACTGCAGACAGTGAGTGCAATGCAGTAAAGAGTGATCTCAGAGTAGCAGACTTGCATATAAGTCAGATTACAGAAGAAAAAGAAATTCAGAGTTGAATTTGACTGTTTACATCAGTTTAATTGCAGAGATCATAGAAGATAAACTATCTGAAACATTCACAGACATGTAAGACCAAGTCATCTCAATCTCTGAGAACACTCAGAGATCAGATGAGGTTAGTTTTGATGAGCTGTTCACTGTAGTGATCTAAGTGAGTGAAGAGAGACAGTATAATGCATAAGACAGAATTATAAAAGATGAAAGCTGCTGAACCTAGTCACTGAACACTGTATCATATAGAGATTGTGTAAGAGTAGTGACTAGCAGACAAAGAAAAAGCATAAGAAAAGAAAAGAAATAATGAATTGATCATCAACTGTAAGAGTCAGCTGCAAAAGACAAATGTTATTATACACATCTCATTCATTTTCATACATCACACATTAATCTATTTCCAATGTCACATCACTTGAAAAATGTCAAAAACAAAGGAAATCTCAAAACTCAAGATCTGCAAGAAATTCAAGAGCTGCAAGCTACTCTCACAATAACACTATACATGTCTCTGATTTCTCTACTGCTCTGTGTACAACATTAATGTCATTTATCACAAGATTGACTGAAATGTCAATATAGAAATGTGTACATGTATGTGTAGAGAAATTGAAGAAGAGCACAGAACTCACAGAACCAGAAGTCAGAGCAGAAGAAACAGAGGCAGAAGAAACAGAAGAAGAAGATGCAGAACTGAACAAATGATGACAGGAGTCACTCAGGGCTGAATACTTATAACCTGATATGTGCACAATCTTCTTCACAGAAGAGAGAGAGAGAGAGAAAGCAATGAGAGAAGCTTGAGAGCAGAAGAGAGTAGTCTCAGTGATGTTATCATCTTCAATTAAAATAGTCTCTGGCACTGAAGCAACTAAGAACTATTATTAGTGTATAAAACTGCAAAAACAGAGATAACAATTATCAAATGAATATTCACTGACCTTAGAATTATACATACAATTACAACACACACAAGGCTTCTCAGAAAGAGAGAGAAGAACACAGAGAAATACAGAAAGTAGAATACAGTGTGTGAACAGCTTATTCTCACAATGACATCTCAGACAAGGCATATAAATCTCATGTCTATGAGTGTAAAAGAGTACAACATCTGCATTCTCATTTCTGAAAACACAGATATCTTTCACCTGCATCATGAAGTCAGATAACAGACATCAGAGAATAGACTGATACAGATTGATTATTCTGAAGAAATTCATCAGAGTGAATATCTCTGTAATGTTGAACTTTACAGTTGTAAAAAGTTTCTTGATATCTGTGAATACTATGACTTTATACACAGTAAAACTCATAACAATTTTCTCTAAGAACAGAAAAATCAGTGTCAGAAAGAAAAGATGAAAAAGAAAAAGACTTATAATCTCAACACTGTTAAGAAGAGAGATGATTCTCTGAAATGAATAAACAATTGCTTCATCACAAATATTTAAAACAAACATAATAATTAATGTCTGTAACTGAGCTTCAGATAGTTGTGTTGTACACAGTCTTTATACAATAAATCATTCTGAAAGTTAGTAAGAAGAGCAGAAGTGTACACACTGAGAGACATGATTCATTAAGTCTATATAACATCTTCTTGAAACAGAGAGAGCTAGTAACAAAAGCAGAGACAGTAAAATCAGAGATCACAGAAACAGAAGTAGCAGGAGTGAGAGAATCAGACATAGAAGCAAGTGTAGAAGATTGAGAAGTAGCAGAGAAAGAGACAGAGAGAGAAGCAGCAGAGAAAGAAGCAGTAGAAGAGATAAGAGAGAATGTAGAAGACTCAGCTATATATGACACAGACAATTTCTTCATTATCACATTCTTCAAGTTCTTGATCAAGAATACAACATTGAGTTCACTATCATCAGTGAATACAGATCTGTCAACATGTGAAGATTCTATATAAATAAAAACAAACATATCAGCATCTGCATTCATATAAAATCATGTTAGAAAACACAATCAGAAACTCACTGAGAAGAAGAAATGATTGAGAATGTATAAGAAGATGAAGAAGATGTGTCATCATTCATGATAATACATTGTTTTAACAATTGTTAGAAGATAAATAAGTTCTGATCACATTTCACAACATATTATACTTACTGCTAATGAACTGCTCAGTATGAGCACTACAATGACACTTACTGTGGAAATGAGAAGTCATTGCCAGAAATGTGTACAATGTAATAGATGAACAGATGAAAAGAGTTGAACAGAAGAAGAGATAGAAATCTTGAATGAGATGATGATATTTGATGATGACAATGATGAAGATGATGATTGAAGGATGAGAAAAGTTAGTGAATAAGTGATGTAATATAGTGGAAGTTTCTTTGTGAGGGTGTACACGGGACACTAGCTGAATCAGGGATAGGTCACATAATCGCAAAACACTAGTGGCAAGCTAATCTGCATGAAGCTAGGGTGTATGACATGGTCATGTGAGTGTGACTGAATCTGGTGAGGGAGGATGTGGTTCGGAAGAATGTACAACTGTCAGATAATAACACAGCCGCTTCTGAACTACTAGTGTATGTGTGTAAAGGGGCCATAGCGTACGCTAATTAATTTAGTGTATGAGATTACAATATAAGAAGCCGGCATACGCCTGTAATCGTACGCTGGCTTAAGCAACCTTTGAATCACATTTTTATAGCTATCTGAGTTTCAGATAGAAAGTATATTAAGTACTTAATTTCTATCTCAGTTGAGAATAAGAATTTTATATTTAATTAATTTAAATCATACTTCTCTTTCAATCTAGCCCTGAGACTATTGTATAATACACAATGCATTATAATATACTCAGAATTTTAATCTGAATTGCAGAATGAGCATTCTGTTAAATTAAATCAAGATATAAAAAGATATCTCAGCAATGATACTTGATATATCAACAATAACAAGGACAGACCGCCTCACCACGAACTCGCTCAATTTTTCGAATAAGAACCCGCCGATAGATCCATCGAAGAGCCCTCGATCATACGAGCATTTTGACCCCATCGCCGACCGCATACCCCGTGTGGTGTCCAGCCGAACGTGAACCAGATGTGGTTCGAACTCCTGTGTGGGATTATCCCCCGTTTCCCCCTACCACACCACAACCCCGTGTCAAATTGCCATACAAATTGTAAGGTGAAGAGACCTAGCCATATGCGCCAATCTTCTTGATTTTGGAAGATCCCTGACCTGTAATTGTGGAGATATCTGAAGAGCAACCTCCGCGAAAACCCTGTCTATCTTTGATGTTCCAAAACATCAACACCAAGTCCCACTCACGTACCGCCCTTCCCAATCTGGCCTATCTCCGGCAGAAAGATACAAAAAGATACCTCAGCAATAGTATCGAGCACATAACCAACGGACACATCTGAAGTGCAACCTCCGCGAAAACCCTGTCTGTCTTTGGTGTTTCAAGACATCAATGCCAAGTCCCACTCAACAAACAAACCAAGGGCGCCAAGGCGTGACCAGACGGGTCGGTTGTTTAATGTTATTGTTTCTGAATCTATCTAAATGCCTGTTTTATATCTGTATGTAGGCTGTGAACTTCTAATAAGTATGACTATAGACATCAATATTTGTGTCTCTCAGGGCATGAATCAAATTTTATTCCTGTTTAGCGGCGCCAGGCAAAATGCAGGCTATCACTAGCTAATTCTGAGCCATGGATCGGCGAGTAAGTCTTTTGCACTGCTGCGCTCTTCTGGCTGCCATCGTAACATTCTCATGATAAAGTCTAGGAATGATATTTTGTCTTCACCTTCGACCTGATTTAGAGAATCTACCAAGGAGAGACCTTCTGGGATCAATTCTGGATATCGGAATGCACCTAGTTAAATAGTGAGCAGGCACTCGTACGAGATCGAGAGATACATACCACTATGGTCAAAATACTTTGTACTCTCGCTTCCTTGGTCGAGAAGCTCTTTCGGTGGCGGTCCCAATAGTGCGATCATGTGCGCCAGATGCCTCTCGCTCGTATACTCCATTTTGTGCGGATTAAGCGCCTCGAAGATACCATCTTTTTCAAGCAAGTCCCATAACTATTCAATCAGGAGGTTAACAATTCGTACACTTTCCATTGTAGGGTCTGGTTCCATACCAGAACACCAACGTTCCATATATCTGCACTGTAACTCCAACCTGCGGTGAGGATAATTTCTGGGGCACGATAGTCGTCTGGTTGAATGGTATGATAATACGGATGAGATACATCCCCACGTACAGCAAGACCAAAATCAGTAATCACTGGTCTTCCTATCCCTTTTGTCTGCAAACCAAGTCCATTTCGAGATAGATAGATTATCCGGTCCTCCAGAATCTTCTGAGGGAGAGGGTGCTCAAATTCCTCGCGTGCAACAATTTCCAATATGGATTCGTCCCTTAATCCAACTAGGATATTATCGGATTTAAGATCTTGTGCTTCCGTTAGTCCATGTAGTCCAAGTAGAATGCGGCTTCCGTGTTGTTGGAGACATAGTTACCGGTGTGGATGACATGGCATTCACTGTGAAGGTATTCAAGTCCTTGAAGCACCATTGTGGCTATTAGCTTAAGGACATCCGAGGGTAGCACGTCGTTTTGAAAGCGTTGTTTGAATATCCAAAGAGGCTCTCGTAAAGTATAAAAGACCAGGCACACATGTGTGCCACATGGCCCACGTAGTTCGAATGAGTCGAGCAGAGTTCGTACAAAGTCATAACCAACATGTTGGGGATTCGCTTTTGTAATGTGCTCTGTGATACGTAATTCCGTCTCGGCTGACTTTTTATCGGCGTAATTATTCGCGCTGACCTTGATTGTAACATAACGCCGCGGTAGCCAGCGCCATCTGTGCTGTTAGCGATTAAACTGGCCCCTGGGGTTTAAACTCACTGATGCAAATCTTGTGCCAGCCACACAGTTGAACTTGTGCCCCAACCGAGTTTCGCGACAACTTGATATCTATCGTTCAAAACTTGGTACAGGCGGACCGGGTAGAAATGGCTTGGGTTATATCGCGGGGCGCGTTCCTCCTCAATAGGTCCAGTCGCGGTAAGACTCGCAGCCACAGACGCTGGTGCAGCGAAAGGAGTGGATTGGAAAATTCTCCGCGTGAACATCATGGGCGCCTTGAGTCGAAGCAACATTATGTAGGTTAATGTCCAGGGTTTGTATCCTGCAACATTCACATCAGTAACGGTCTTCAAAAAGTTAACAACACTTCTAGTCTGTGTTTTCCGACTAAGCCTAAGTAAGCTTGGTCGCGCTAGTTGGGGGGACCACGTTTTGTGCATTTGGCATGCGCAGTCAGCCCTATACAATTCCTCGTTACCCACAACGCAAACAGCTGTGCTACGCCTCTCTGAAGTGGAGTTGATAACCACTCTCGGTCGTCTACGGAAAACAAGCTCTCCTCTAGCAATTTAGATGTTCATTTTTATTCACATCGTCTTTTAGATAGTCTTAGTTCGAAAATCTCGTGCTAAACAAAAACCAGGCTCGCAGATTAAGCCTGTAGTTCCATTCACACCTCCCCCCCTCAGCACTGTTAAACTCCTCCTTCGAAAACTTCACCTCCCCGTCATGATACCAATGCCCCGACGTGATGCGAGTTCCATTTTTATCCAGCAACTGCCCTGACACGCGAAGTTTGGGGTCTCGTGGTGATGGGTGCTCTTGACCCCTAGGAAGAAGTGAGCAAATTATTGAGTTAAGCGAAGAATAAACATACGCGATTTCAACTGTCCCTACTCTATCTTTGAGCTTCGAATTGTTTTCAATTGATTTCTCGATCATCTCGTCGTACTTAGCTACTCGCTGAGTGCCTTTCCATATTATCTGAAGCAAAGATCGAGCGCTGGAGGAGAAGAAACGGGACATGGTGAAGAATGTGAAGCTATTCGATATTGAATTACGCGGAAGCTAAAGAAGGAACCCAAACCCTTGAATGAATTAAACGAATATACCAGGACATCCACAGCAGTCAGTGTTTCACTGATACTTTGAAGAGGATTTCGATGGCTTTTTATCGCTCCACCCATGTTGGTACATTTCGCTCTATCAATTCATATCTCAACGCCTTCATTTCCCAATCACGTTAAGACGTTCCTTGCATGTTCTGAGTCACAGGCAATATCAAATATCACTTCCAGTCATCAAAGCGCTAAATGATGATTTGGTATTGGTTGCTGTTCAGGCAACAATGGCTCTTCTGTGCTGCGGAGAATGTGGACAGTGGAGATGATGGCTATATGGCGTTGTAGATAGGTTCTTCGCGGGAAGTATTCTCTGGAGATTTCTGGGATGGCGAACAGAATGATAACGCATCTTGTTACAAGATATCCCTATCAATGCAAAAATGGTCTTGGGCGTTTGAGGGGCGAACTCGTCACAGTACAGCACCGTGATGGTATTTCAAAGTGTTGGGACATGGAAGGCAGTTTCAGGCTACGTTTAGAATTATCACTTGGGGCATATTGAAGCGGACTTGTCTAAAGAATGACTTTCGACGACAAATATTAATCTACCCCTTTCCATCGAATAACAATTTCTGTCTTTCTTCACCCACTCGTACTTGCTTTCTTGCATCTCAGCCTCCATAGTCTTTCCTCTTCATCCACAAAAGCGGCCCCCAGATTCTAAACACCCTAAGATATCCAGATTTGGTTATGGCGATTGGCTCAGCAGGTACTATCTGGGTAGTGCTCAATACTCTTGGTTCAGTGCGAGCCAATTGTTTCATGCAATGTAGGCTGTAGCCTGGCATCTAGGCAATATCTCCCATGACTCAACCATTACAAGTAGCATTTCTGAGTGGCAGATATCCCTGTCAATGCAAGAGGAGTTGGAGCGCGGATTCACATGCAGGTGTAACTAGTGGATAAAGTACCAAGTTGGTATTCTCAGGTGTCACTTAATATCTTCTTCCAGTATAGCGTGTCTGCTGAGCCGCCCCGATCGATGCACATCCGCGGGTGACTGGATGTGCTTCTGTGCAGCAGAGCTCCGCTAAGATTAGCGATGCACGGGCATATATGAAGAGGAATGGAGCATATTTGGAGGACATTACCAGGATGAAAATATCGTAGGCTTGTCGACACGTTCATCGTAATATTCCTTGTTCTCGTGGTGATGTGAGGCCATAATGCAAAGCTGCACAGAAATGTCTTACCGAATATATATATAAATCTATTTACGTCGTTTCTTTGGCATCTTGAATGCTTCTGCAGATTTCTTTCCAAGAGCATCCAAGTTTTGCGAACCGTCTCCTCCTCCAGTACAGATGTAAAACTCGAACCCTGTGTATCAGCCCCTTCGACACCCTGTGAAAGTTCGGGTAGCTTCGCATAACAGCTAGTTTAAAAAATGTTAAATAAATATAAAATAAATATAATCTATATATAGGCTATGGCTACTCTGAGGGATAGGGGATATATCGAGCATGACTAGGCCATGAATATTCTAATATGCCTTCCGGTTTAAACCAGTTCATTTCCTAGATTACCAATACTCTGCTGAGCGTTACTGGAACCCCACAAGAGAGACGGGTATTTATGGGTCAAGTAAATAATCTCATCTGGTTAACCAAACAATAGCCAATGGTGCAGTGGTTCTCCCTCAAAGCGACCGTAGCTATCACCCTTCAGGCAAACATAGGACCGGTCATATTTATGGACCTTGCTGTTTTAAGTAAAAAAACGGGTGATTTGAAACGACCAACTAGAAACCTGTAGATTTACGCCTCTAAGACTAGAGATGAGAGGTTATGGGGACATGTCTTGGATGCGTGGGGTATATTGATACAACAATGAAATGGACGATAGGGGCAAACTTCTTTGGATTGCACATTGTGTCTTAGCAAAATCTAAATTTACATGAATTTCTATAATCTTCTATGGCCAAACATTTCATATGTACCTCTTAGAATGGTTTTACATCTACGGAAGCACACATTCATTGTTCTCAACATGATCTAAGGCCGGCGCGAATCTGCGGATTACTGGCCCCAGTTAATGCATTCAAACAAGACATGAACCGGCACTATGAATTGGCCTGATTCTATACTGAAGACAGGATGTGATCCCGGATTGCAACTTCGCGGTAAAATCATGTCAACATCCAATCAAAGTGATCTACACAGGTAACAAGTACTTCACTCTGTCTATGCTCCCTGACATTGCTGAATGGTATCTTTGAGAGCCTGCTATCACAATGCAACTCTATGAGGAAGCAAGTACATGATCACACATGTAAGTTTGTGCAAGAAACAGAGATAGATTATTTCTAGTAATTTATATCACTGATTATTATTATTATTATTATTCTTCAATTATAGATGTATGCAGTCAGAGACTATAACATCTACCTGAGAACCTTTAGTTCTCAGAGTTTTTCCTATATCTATAGAGTCAACTATTATACACTTATCAATTTCAGATATACAAAATCAGAAAATTCCAGCTCAGAATACAAAAACTATTTATAAATTGCAGTATTTTAACATCTTCTGATACTTTGAAATCATTTGAAAATATCATGACAAAGAAAAAGAGAATATAGTCTTAAAGATAGACATATTAGATAGATAGATAGAAAAGAATAGAAAGAAATAAGTACAGTAAAAAGAGACTATAATAAAATAAAATTATTAAAAGATAGTGTATAGCTGTTTTAACAGACTATATTTAATTAACTTTTATCTCTTCATATTCAAATACTTCTGAATTGAGTTATTTTCTTATAGCTGCTTGAGTTTCTAATAGAAAGTCTATTAAGTATTTAATTTCTGTCTCAGTTGAGAATAAGAATCTCATATTTAATTAATTTAAATTATACTTCTTCTTTAATCTGACTCTGAGACTATTGTATAATGTATAATGTATTATAATATACTTAGAATTTTCATTTATATTACAGAATAAGCACTCTGTTGAATCAAATCTATTATTAAATCTTTGTATATAGAATTTGAAATAATCATATTCTAGTTTTAGCTGAATTATAAATGAGAATATTTTCTTTTTATATTTAATTGAACAAGATTTTCACTTTGATTTTATCTCAAATCTTGAATAATGTATACTCTTCTTTTGTTTCTATCAGCTTTCATTTCACTTATTTAAACAAGATTCTTTTATCTTTCTCTTTATAAAAGATCAGAACACTGTTTTTTAAATAGATCTACTTAATTCTGAACTCTTTTTTACAGCTGAATCAGTCAATTCATTGTCATGAATATTCATATAAGCAGGAACTTAATATAGATAAATTATCAGTTTTAATATTCTTCTCTTTTGAATTTTTAAAACAGAGTTTAAAATCAGTTCAAGATTTATTTGATTATTATAAATCTGACTATTTCTAAGTCTTTTTAAAGCAGATTGACTATCAGAGAATATTTATATCTCTTTCAAACTATTTTCTCTTTTATAAGATTTTATTTCAATGAGTTTGAAAGCTTTCACTATTATAAATAGTTCAGTATCAAAGACTTCAGATTCACAGTCTAAATTTCAGAAATCTGAGATAAAATTGATATTATCTTCAGTATAAGCAATGCCTGTATCTAATCTATTCAAATTCTCATTTTTTAAGTCATCTGAGTGAATCAGAATAGAGTCTTTTATATTGATTATAGAGATCTTCTTTAAATGCTGTTTATATTCTCTCTCTTTAGATAGTTCACTTATTTATAAGTCTATGAGAGATTCTAGCTTTTCTCTTCAGAGAGATATCTTCTCATGATCAATTTTCTCAACATTTAATAAAGAAAATTAATTCTTAATAAGTGAATATAGTCTATACAGTTGAGAGAGCACTTTCTTTAAAGTATTATTCTTATTTCAATCAAGAAATCTATTTCAATTCAGTTCATTCTCTGAGTTAACTGATAAAAATGAAGAAGAGACTCTTTCTCTGATTATATAATTTAAGCTTATCTTCATAACTCTTAGAGTATAGTTCATACAGGTCTTTTCAAATTAAATAGTAGAAGATGAAATTAAAGCTTTAATTTTCATTACTTTAATAGAAGATAATTTGAATGCTCTCAGAATTCTTCTCAAAGCTCTATTTTATAGACTTTGAAACAGTTCAGTGAAGTTATCTTAATTATTTCATTAAACTTGAACTTTATAATCAGCTACTGAGATAATACAGACTATGTATAACTATCTTATAGTCTGAAAAGATAGATCTCTCTCAGTATTTAATAGTCTGATTATACTATTCAGTAGTCTCTCTGTCTTGATAATTCTTTATTGAATATGATATTTAAAATTCAACTTGAAGTTTAATCATACTTCTAGTCATTTGATATTTAAACTGAGTTTAATCTCTTTATTCAAAAGAGTTAGACTTAGTTCTTTCTCATTTAATCTGGAAAAAAAGTGAATTAACTCAGTTTTATTCATATTAAATTGAATTAGATTGATATCTACTCTAACAAAGATTTTCTTTACTACTTTCTCAATCACTTCTAAATTCTC